ACATTAGGGCGGGTCTATTTTTTCCCCATAAAATCGCATATGCGGAACATGGTCTACGTATCATTCTGAACAACTTTGCTTAAGAAACTATTGGTCTAAAACCAATTCCGAGCCAACGAATTTTAAGGGGAAGTTTCATTCCGGTAATACAAAATTTGGTGGAAAAAACTTAAACAAATAGCTGATTTATGAGTGTAAGGGTATAAAAAGCAGTTCATTTTTTAAATACTTAAATAACTAAGTTTTTAAGTCCTGCTTGCTTTCCAAGCGTGGTAATTTTTTTTTTACTAACATCTGTCACGATTTTTTTCCGTTACGCGCCGAGAAGCACTGGTTAGCAGTTGAACATATGTGGCATAGAACTTGTGGGTCAGGAAGTGATGGGTCTTCAAATTCAACGGGAGTGCGCTAAAGGTCCAGGTTTTGTGTTAGCTATTTTTTTTGTCGGAACCAAACAGGCAGGGCGTAATTTTAGTCCGATTTCAATAATTTTCAATGGTTTGCTTTTATGTGGCAAGCACAATAATCATAACGATTTTGGTACAAATTGATCGAAGAGTTATCGAGATTCACATATGTAGTCATAAGTGGGGGGTGCCACGCCCGTTTTCCAAAACTTTATCATAAACCTATTTGTTGCTAAATAATCATTGCAAGCATCAATTTTGAATAAATTACGTACAGTATTTACTGCTTTATCGAAGATTTCGGATTTCTCTAAATAACCATTATATGGGATGTTGGCGTGGTTATGGTCCGATTTTAAAAATTTGCAGTCGTTTAGTATGTTGTACCATGGTCAACAACCACTAAGTTTGGGAGAAATTGGTGAAGCGGTTACCAAGATGTAATCATAAGTGGGCGTGGCTGTGCCCATTTTCCAAAAATTTATAATATTTTTATTTGTCGTCTAAAAATTATTGTAAACATTAATTTTGAGTTAATAAGCTTCAGTAGTTACAAAAATATCGCAGTTTTCGTATTTCTGAGAACTTCCTTTATAAGAGAGGTAGGCGTGGTTATTGTCCGATTTTACCCATTTTCAATACCATCCGTCCTACGCTAAAACGAAGTATACATACCAAATATTTCAATTTCTAATCGAATTATCATGTGCACAGACGGACGGATGGACGGGCAGACAGTCACTGCTTAATCGATTTCTTTTCAATTCCGATCATTTAAGCATTAAAAAAAAATAAACTTCTTTCTTTTACCCTTACAACTTCCCCTTAAAATTCGCTGGCTCGAAATTCGCTTTAATTAATTAATTAATTAATAAACACCAACGGTTTTTACCCTCCTTTCCCGCCCAACCGACACGAGGGGCGCAGTCCGCATGACGTACGGAACCTTTTTTTTTTAGTGCCGAGTCGTGGAAACAGGAGTTTGTTAAGTGTCGAGATCTAAAACTATTCAGCTACAGAATCAAATTCATCAGCTGATTGGATATGCTAAAGATAGTATTTCAATTATTGAGAGTGGAAATGATAGTTTTCTTTATAGCAAAAATCGAGTCCGATATGTCAAACGTGATGGAATGAGAGTTAAAAGCTTGACATAAACCACGGAATGATTCGTTTAGTTCAAAATTAGTTTTGCATGGCTTCAAAACCCCACAGTTTCTTAAGCAAAGTTGCTGAGAATGATCAGTAGAGCATTTACCGCATATCCGATTTTTCCGTTTTTCTGATCCTCTACAAATCGACCCGCTCTAGTGTACATACGCACCAATTGTGTAGGGCACAGCAAGTATTATGTAGGTAACTACCCAGTAGAAATCGGTTGTATGCATTCTTGAATGATGCTTGCTATATGAGTGTATTAGTGTGAACAATGCATGCGTAGTCATGAATTTCCACGAATAAATTAAAATTCTATCGAATTGCAAGCGAATGTACGTTGTCGTTGTTTTAAGTACATTTCTTGATAAATTTGAAGTGGAATTTTTGTAATATTTTCAGTCTTGTACAAAAATTTTAGTGAACGGACGTGTTGTGCGATACTATTTTCAGCACAAACGGGCTTTTACAAGATATGCATTTGAATATGTAAATGCTACTTGTTTGTATGTCCCCGTATATTAAAATGTATCAGAAAAATAGCATTTACATATGGGGTACATATCTTGTAATACTGTTCCATTAATGCATTTTTGTATGTTTGAAACATTAATACAGCTATATGCATACAGCAGTAGTACAAGTGTATGATTAAGGTAACCACGCGTGTTAAATGGAAATGAAGGTTCATTTATACTGGCATGTATACACAGCAGCAAGCTCGTGCCACCAACAGCGATGTTGTATGCATAAGATTTCTACTGGGTAGTTTATAGGCAACCCAACCAGCAATCACGATTAGCATGTACAGTATATTTTGCTTAGCTGCACATCCTTCTTTGCACGAAAAACTTGTGCACTTAACCGAAAAAGGCACTTAAGCGAATTTTCTTTACTACTACTAAATGAGGAAGGTATCCAAATCCCTATGAAACCAAATAATGGAGAAGCACTTACCACGTAGAAATTACTGCAAGCGTAATTTTTACCGAATAGTATCTAATTATCTATATAACTACATAAATTTATAGCCATTTTCGTTGTTCTGCGAGATGAACAAAATAAATAAAAAGTTTAAAATTAGGTAATTGTAGGGCCAGTGCAGGTAAACGTAATACTTTCTATGATAATTGATACTAGTCGCACAATTTTTAAGGCAGGTATCGCCAATGTGCAGGTATGCTAAATGCATTTATCGGAGCAGTTTCCTTATAAATGTTAAAAATAATGCCTCTGATACGCATTTTGGGGTAGGTATCTTAAATGTGCACTTAAGCATAGAGGCAGCAAAGCAAAATATACTGTACATACAAATATATATATTAGGGCACAGGACTTTTTAAGTTGAAATAAATGTATACTGGAATGAAATAAAATTATGTCTACATATTTTGTTGAATTGTGACGCTAACAAAGTGTTATGAAGCGATAAACCTTCATAGAAGGGCCTGAGTAACCGAACAGCGTAATGAGATTACCATCGTCTCGGGAAGGAATTGGCATAAGCGTCGTTGGTTGTAGTAGTTTCAGGGTTCATTCAATTGGGGTTCAATAGTGGTTTAAATGTTTTAATTTTATATTTCTAAGCACATAGATTTTTGTTGTTAGAGATTTAATCCGAGTGATGTAACAAGGACTCACCGAACCAATACGCGCTGAAAGTTACCTCTCACTTATCGGATCAAGAATATATCGTTACACCATACCAAATTAAATAAGTTTCCGAGGTTTACGTGGTTACGAGGCATTCACGCGTTTAAATGAACTGCCCTATTTTTTCGTTTATTTTTTGTACATATATTTTTTTAACCTGAGTCAAATTTGTTAAAAACAAAGAAAACAGAAAATCTAATAATAAAAAACTAAACGAAAACTAAAAGCAAAACTCTCTGGGAAGACTATACCTGTGAATAATTGTATCATGGTTTTATCCGTGGTGGAATTAAAAACAGGTTAAGTAATAAAACAACTTTGTCTTCATTGTCTGTGTGTTTATCAATCACTACCATTAATTCTATTCGTTTGCAATAATACTTACCAACATTCTCACGGAGGGGCATAGGGTACGTCCAATCATCATCATCCGTGAATACGCTTTCAGAATCCGAATCTGAATGATTATTGACTGTTGTAGAATTTTTGATGGCTGTCATTTGTTCCTATATTTAAAAAATATAATATCAATATGTATACATACACACATACATATACATAATATCAGAGGCGGGCAAGCTTGAGGCTAATGAGAACCGCTTATAGGTTTTTTAGATTTGCAAGGAGTTACAAAAAATGCAAATACAAATTTCTAAAGATTATTTTTTGAGCTCTCTTTTTATAATGTTAGAAAAACCCCGCTTAGTCTTCATATTCGAAAAAGTCAAAAAATAAAGTCAACTAAATAATTTAACTTCATAATGATAATGCTGGTCCAGATATGTACCATAAATTTCTTACCAAAGCAGTAAAGTCTGATACATGGTTGTAGTTGCAAAAATACTGCTGCTGCTGAATCAAAAATATGGAGCGGAGTTCATCTAAGAAGGTCTCCAGCAGACGGATTTCAACTTTCGCTATCCCCATGATTCAATAATAGATAATAATAATAGATTGGCGCTTACACATATGTTAGTGTTTGGCCGAGCTTCCCCTCCGACTTGTGGCGTGCGCCTTGATGTTGTCGCACAAAGCGGAGGGACCTACAGTTTTACGCCGACTCCGAACGGCGATTGTATTTTTATGAGAAGCTGTTTTTCATGGCAATAATAATAAATGGTTAGATAATTATTGACAACCGCATTTTGACACTCTCTTATAGTATCTTTCGTGGAGCCATAAACTCGAGTTTATGGGCCATTTTGGAGTTTAACGCTAAACTCTACTCTTAAACTCAGAGTTTTCCACACAAACCTCTTTTTTTTGGTGTTCATGGGAATGCAACCCTATTTTTGACTAAGTTTGGTAGCACAAGGCAAAACTTGTAGCCGCACTATATATTTTGTCCGCACTATTAATATTGCATAAGTCTGGAACAAGCTAAATGTGAATAAGAGAAAGTAAACAACCAATTGTCACTTTTGACAGTTACAAGTTTAAAAAAATAGACCACTTCGTTTATTTGGGAACCAGTATTAACACCAATAATAATGTAAGTCTTGAAATCCAACGGAGAATTATTTTTTCTTGTACATAGATTTATTTGTTAATCTGCTTATTTAAGATACATTAAGCCTAACAATAAGTTAGAAAATCTTTATTCAAATTGACAATGATATAGCTCAAACCCTGTGGTTGAGCCTTGTAGGTGAACTCTTCTTCGGAGGTGTGATAGATGTAGGAATGTATTGATTTTGCAAAGACTACCTTGCAATAATTTACTGGCAATTAAGTTGGATCTGGTAACACTAGTCATACTGTAATTTCTCCTTCGCTTCTGGATCTCGCGCACATTTATTGTAACGTAAAATGGTATAAATGGATAAAGATAGTGTCTCTTCACTTAGTAAAATTACGGGAATCAAACAAAGAATTTATTGAAAAAAACTTGGCATCGGTGCAGCGCATGCTAGGGACTGGCAACCACTCAAATACTACGCCGGCCTTTAGAAGCTTAAAAAAAATGTAGAAAAATGGTCTGCATATGTCCAGCAGTTAGAACATCACTTCACTGCAGAATCAATGATTTTCTCGAAATAATCGATTTTAGAGAATCAATTCTAAATTTTCGGGATCGATCAATAATCGGTTCTGAGAACTCAATTATCTTATTTTCATACATCTTTAGATATGCTTCAGCTATTATAACTGTGAAATTGTGAAATTTTGGGCATGACATATAAACATTAAGTAAGACTTATTAGGGCATATTCATAGAGATGCTATAAATGAATTTATGAAAAGAAACAATTATATTCAACAATTTTTATTGAGCTTGAAAACGTTTTTAATGAAAAACTTATTGTGGAAAAGAAGTGATAGCTATTCGAACCGACGATCCCACTGACTCAGCCAGTTGCCTACGTACTGTGCTAAGTTCGCCTTGTGAATTATTGTTGCTTTTTTCCCACTTTTTCATTTGTTAAGCCAACACAATCAAGCGCAGCTATTCCGCTGCAATTCACACTTTATCATGTGGTTGTTGGTTTTGTTGGTTTTTGTTAATAATTATATTTTTAGAATGCTTAACTTTTTAGGTGTGCTCGTCCTTAAGTTATTTGTTTTTGTTATTTTATGGCCTTATAACAATTATATTCAACAACTTTTATTGAGCTTGGGGCCGTTTTTAATGAAAAACTTATTGTGGAAAAGCACATAATTCACAAGGCGAACTTAGCGCAGTACGTAAGCAACTGGCTGAGTCAGTGGGATCGTCGGTTCGAATCTTACCGAAAGAAGTCTGATGAGGAAATGTGTTGATTTCTGAAATAGCTATCACTTCTACCATTTTTTCAAATTATTGTTGCTTTTCCAAAATAAGTTTTTCAATAAAAACGGTGTCAAGTTTAATAAAAATTGTTGAATATAATTATTATAAGGCCATAAAATAACAAAAAGAATTAACTTAAGGACGAGCACACCTAAAAAGTTAAGCATTCTAAAAATATAATTATTAACAAAAACCAACAACCACATGATAAAGTGTGAATTGCCGCGGAATAGCTGCGCTTGATTGTGTTGGCTTGAAAAATGAAAAACTGGGGAAAATAGCAATAATAATTCACAAGGCGAACTGGCTGAGTCAGTGGGATCGTTGGGTCGATTCCTACTGAAAGAAGTCTGGTGAGTAAATGTGGTGATTCCCGAAATAGCTATCACTTCTACTATTTTTTAAGTTATTGTTGCTTTTCCACAATAAGTTTTTCATTAAAAACAGCCTCAATCTCAATAAAAATTGTTGAATATAATTGTTGTAAGGTCAAAAAATAACAAAAATAGAAAAGAGACAATTTTAAGGAGGGTATTCAAATTTATTTACTTTCCATACCAAATATTACCGTGAGTATGGGTCAACATACATTTTATAGCAAATAAAGCAATTTTTCCACAAGTTTATTGTTATTAAAACTCTAGCTACAATAATATTAGTTAATTCATTATTTGCTACGATTGATGGCTGTATAAGTGATCGTTTTTATAGATTTTTCAAGTGAAAGTAATATTGAAATAAAGAATCGATTGGAATCGAATAATTCTAATCTCACCGTCGATTATTCGATTATAAGAATTGTAAGGATTAAATAAGACATGAGACCCGAGAATCGATTATTTTTCAAAACTTTCCGTCCCTATTGCCAACAATATAGGTGTCAAACTATCGATGGTACTATCGATAGTTTTATTTTTTTGCCCCTATCGATGAGTAGTGATAGCTTTTCTCGAAAAAGCTAAAACTATCAACAAGCACAGCCGATTTTATTCATAACTAGCCTTTTGTCTATCCCATGCTTGAACTCATATTCATTGTCTTTTGGGGTCAGGAAGACCGCAATGAAATGGAGGTACAAAATGAGGCATTTCATGTCACCGCGGCCACCTTTGTGCGCGACCTCTCAGGATTTGGATGAAAGTTGAAGAGATTGAAGGTCTAGGTGACATGAATATACGTGCAGCATATTTTGCCGATATGACGTAGGGTTGCCTATTTACACGGGACTTAAATTTTAAGAAAACGTCATACATACCTTTCTTTAAAGTGCTGTATCTTGGAAACCTTTTAACGAAACTTAATGAAAAATTGTGGATCCTCCGTCTTATTATGGACTTTAATTGTACATTTTTTACATTAATATGCAACGTATAAAAAACAAAAAAAAATTAAGTAAACATTTTTATCTTTGTTTTTTTTATTATAGCATTTTTTTATTTTTTTTTATTTTTACATAAAAACATTGTCTATAATGTCAACTTTAAGTACTTAAATGGGCGTAATGGGCTACTTATGCGTATGGACTCTAGATCGTCTAACGCTCGAGCAGTATGATAAATAGACATTTTATGAAATTCAACCATTTATATTGAGCTCGATGACGCTTTAAATGAAAATTTTTATTGCGGAAAAGCAACAATAGTTTGAAAAAATGGTAGAAGTGATAGCTATTT